TAGGTAGACATTGATTGGCCAAACGCGTATGAAAACGCCCTCACCTGCCATGATTTAAAACGCCGTCTTCTGGAACTAAAACGGTGCGAAAGGCCCTATAGAATTTAAGTTCCTCATGGCATTGCTTGGGCATTTGGTTGTTCCTGTCATTGTTTTGCCTTCAGGACACAGCTCAACTTCAGTCTTGTCAGACCATAAAATTCTGCAGGATGCTTTGCTGTTTTGCCACATGGCTCCAAGCATGACTTTTCTAATTAAATTGAACTTAGATGTACATTCTTACATAAACAATTGGACAAGAAATTTTAAAATATTTATTATGAAATTGTGAAAATATTTTTGGTAGTGAAAACCAAATAAATTATTTTGTGTTATTGCCACTGTAGAGTTTTCTGTGGATTTTTTTTCTTTGTTCCTTGTATATATTTTACAAAGATAAAATATATTTTCTCCAAAGATAATGGAAACATTGATAATTAACAAAGATTAATCAAACAGCAAAATCATACAGTGAATATTTATCAAAAATAAATTTTCAATGATCATTTCATCATTTCTAGAAGCTGTAAAAAAAACTGTTCAGTCGCATCCACTATCCAGCACATCCTGAAGATGCGGTTGTGGATCTGTATGAGCTCAAGTACATAACAGCTGTGTAACAGCAAAGTAAAGTCTTCACTTCATCTAGTTGAGATGAATAATCCACTTCTGGTACATTCGTGTTCATATGATAATCTGCAGTAGCAGTAAGATGTTCAGGACAAACGCTGTAGGCAGAAAACACGAAGCTTTGCTGTTTCCTTTGAATAACACTTTCTGAGTTTTGAGGAGCACCTCGATGGGGTAGTGATCACTCACTTCTAGGGCCTATAACGGACAACCTGAAGTTCAATGACATGACCATGTGCAAAATAAAAACAGTAAATGCTGATTTTGGCTTACCTCGGCCTCTGTAAGGTGGAATTCCTTGGGAAAATTGAACGGCCGTGCTGAAGACAGATCAACTGTTCTGAGAAATGGCTCTCCGTGCACAACAATCCTGAGGATTGGCCATAAAAAAAATGATTAAATATTGAGCAAGCATAAAAGGTTGGCCTTATGCAGTGTATATATGCAAATCATTAACATCATTATTGTATTACGCTGATTTTAGTATTTTACTATACCGGTCATATGCACAGACAGTCGACTGTTTCACTGTAGTGTCCACGTTATCCTGAATCAGCCAGATGAAAGACGGGTCAGAGAAGAGCCTGATGTTCTTACGGTTCTTTTTAGCCACATAACCACAAGCTGCATTGAAGTCTCCAAGGAACATCACATTCTGCAAAGATGACAAAAAAGCTAAGTTCGCCATTTGATCTCAAGATATTATACTCTCTATAATATTAGAAATCTGCCAACATACCTCAATTTTCCACCGTGCTCTAATGTCCACAAAGACATCATAGAGTTCGTCAATCTCTTTGGTGGCATTTGAAGGAGTGGTGTGCTGCGGGATCAAGATAAAATCCTTGGCCACTGTTAACAGAGACATTATGAGATCACATGACCAAAATTCAACACATACGTTTTCCCTGTTTTATTTTTTACCTGTTTTATGGGCTTGAAAATGTACCACAAATGGTTCTCTGGAAAAAGCATCTACATCCCCTTTCTGTGTATCTGGATACTGATACTGGTTTTTCAGCTTTGCTGTGCTTTTCCTGTGTGAGGGGAAAAAAAGATCTGAAATTTCCAAAACCAATTATGGAGATCAAGAATCATCTTAAAAAGAATAATTTGAATGCAACGAGTGAATTTAGGCATCAAAAAGATTACATTTAACAATGTTATTCAATTATTGGTGTTTTAAAGAACTTCAAGGGAGCGTTAAATGACAGCAAATTCAATCTAAATGTGCATCACAATTAAATATTCAATATCGACTAATACTGATAAATTAAAACATCTCTAATATCAGACAATAATAAGTGTGATCCCATTCCTAGTCTTTATATATTGTCCTAATGTACAGAAGTGCTGAACACATACCTGTAAACAAAAACGTATTGCTCCTGATAGTTTTGTGTCCTCCCGAGACGTTCACTTGCTACATAGTCATAATCATTATCATTAAGTCTGGAAACAAAATATAACATAATAGCATTTATGCACTGTGCATTTGTTTATCTCTTAAATCTGACTGGTTACAGTGATTTCAGCTTTGTTTTTTTTTGTTTTATATTTGCATAACATCTACCTGTTGACCGCAGTAAGCAGTCGTGGGATGGCTTTTTTTTTCTGATCTCTGACCTCCTGGAGCAAGCATATGTCACAGCGAGATACAATCTGCAAAAAATAACAATTTTTGCAAGATGTTTTTATATATTACAAAAATAAATAAAAGGCACTGTACTGTTAATCTTCTTACCCTTGATACAGAATTCATGATTTTGGCATCGGCTGATTTTGAATCACCAAAACTCTTAACATTAAAGGCACAAATTCTGAAGCCATAGCAGCTCCGCACGCCAGAGAGAATAGAGAGAGTGAGGAGGAGCAGTCTGCCGGTCATCCTGCATGTGAAGAGTCAGAAAAACACCTCTGTAGTTAAAACTTCATGATTCAATGGGAAAGAACAGACTTCAAATGTTATATTAACGGGAACATTTGAATCGCATGCAGGCAGGCACTCAGAAGTGTAAAAAACATCTTTAAAAGATAGAGGCAGGTCAATGGGGAAGAAAAGACCTTAATTAAAAATAATACGGTTAAATAAACTAACTGACTATATACAGTTATTGCAAAAATGTGATCATGAAACTGATGAGTAACATTAAAACATCATGTGATTGTGGTTCTCGTTTTTAGAACTTTTAGGAGATGTTTAGAGGATTTTTTAAAATTATTAACTAATTTCCCTATTCCTATCCCCAAAAATTAACTTATCTGAACTGTAACAAGTAAAAACAAAACACACACAAGAACAATAACAATTCATCAGGTTTTAAGAACACATTTTGAAGATCCAAAACTATTTCAATTTACAATACAAAAGACCTAATTATATTCTGATCAAAGTTTTGGCTACTTTTCAGGTGAGACCTGTGATCAGAGAGTTAACACCTCATGATAGACTCGTGTCAGGGATCAGGATGTGTCTGCTTTAAAGGAGGAGTTCACTTTCAGAATGAAAATTCTGTCACCATTTACTCACCCCCCACTTGTTCCAAACCTGTATGAGTTTCTTTCTTCTGTTGAACACAAAATAAGATATTTTGAAAAATGTTGGGAACAGTTGATGAGCACCATTGACTTCCACAGTAGGAAAAAAAATACTATGGAAGTCAATGGTGCTCATCAACTGTTCAGATCCCAACAGTTTTCAAAATATCTTCTTTTGTGTTCAACAGAAGAAAGTAAATGGTGACAGAATTTTCATTCTGAAAGTGAACTACTCCTTTAAGGTTAGTGACCATTTGTGAATTAAACAGCCTATGCTGTTGTTGTTGTAAGCAGTGGCGGCGTTTCACAAAACCATAGGGTATGGCGGTGGGGGGTGGGGGTCACAGTTTTGATAAATAAAAAATCCAACGGCACAACACTAAGCACAGGAATATAGGAAAAAAAGATAGAATGGGATAATGTTTAAACGTCGTAAGAGTTGGTATTGTGGCTTTATCAGACACTTGCACTTAACATTTTATGAAAATCAAGATCAAATGGAGTTCGACCATTTTTGACCAGCGAATGACGGAGATCTGTGTTTTGTCTGCCATTAGAACAGCTGTATCTGAGGCAGCAAGTGCATCGCATTAAACGTTTTCATCAACTTCCAGGTTATCACTTTTATTGTAGCTATATGGGTGCTATAGTTTTTCTTGTCGTTTAATACAAGCTCGCTGAATAAATACTTCCAGGTCGTGCATAAACTATATATCTGTGTCATCCTTATTTCTCCCTCTTCATCATCTTCCGTACACTAGCGGAGGAGGTACTTTTCCACACTTTTCTCAAAAACTATTGGTCCTAAAGACATCAATCAAAGTGTGGACTGTATAATGGGTATTCCCCCAGAGAATGATCCCACAAACGTGCTTGTTTGTCTTTCAGTAACGGAGGAGTGGTCGCTGGCGTGCGGCGAATAGCGAAAAGTGTACGGAACATGGTTAGTCTACGTTATATGGCTACAACTAGACGTCAAAAGCTACTCTTCTCCTTTCTTCAAACACACAAAAACATTGACCTTTATAGACATAGTGTTTGAATAAACAAAATGCTGTACTTTTTCAAACATCAGTTATTTGTTTACCCTTACATTGCGAACAAGCGGAGATCTGTCTCCAGGCTGTGCATGGCGCGTCAGTCTGAATGGAGGCGGGGTGAAGTTATGAGGTTTCTGACAGTTTGAGATGCCGTTACGAGCTTTAGTGACAAGCTCATTAAATGCTTTTCATTGGATAAATATTTGTAAAACCCTCAAACAGACACAAGGAAGACCAATAGCATTGATTTAAAATAATAATAACGAATTATAATAGAGATATGAAGTTTGGATGATTTTCCACGGCACACCTGACTGGGCTAGGGTATGGCAAACTGGCATACTCAGCCATACGGAAACGCCGCCCCTGGTTGTAAGTAATCCAGACTGCAGATAACATGTTGAAACAAGGTCTGTGGGGCTAGAGGGTTTCAAACAGCCTGCAACATGTTTGTTTTCACACATTTTTCTAAAGAACTTTTCTATATAAAACAATTGTTTGCCTAGTAGCTACAACATCTGGAACTCAGCACTGAGAAAGCAGCAATAGGCTCACAGAACTGCATACAAAGCTTAATATACTGAAAAGAAGACCTCCTTACCTCATTTGAAATACGTTGGGTTTCACTTCAACAATACTGCTCTCTCTCTTTCTTTCCCTTCCGCAGACAGTGAAGAGATTCCACTGGTGTTATTATACTCAGAAAGCTCGAGGACACACCTTCTGCTTTGCTATTTGTGGATAAGGGGAGGAGCGTATCTTTCAAACGTAAGGAGTGCGGGTCTTTCCCTTTCCACAAGACTTGGAGGGCAAAACATCCATAGAACTGCAGCACAAGCCTGCCAACTTTCCATTTGTTCCCCAGCCACAAGTATTTAGATCACCTCTCAAAACAATAAAACAAAGATATGTGTGAACAAAATGCAAGTTTTGGCCATTTGCAATCCATATTACGCTAAGCACCCGCGGCAATATTTCAATCATTAAACAGTGCGACAAAACGTTGTAAAAACACTTAAAATGCCGTAATATATTTAAAACAGAAATATTAAAAGATCAAATTCAGTAATCGCCATATTAATGATGCATAGTTTACATAGGCAAGCGGATGAGGCCGGAATATGAACGCAATCCGCTTAATGGTTCAGTGTTTTCCTTATAATGGTTTTCTATGGGAAACCATTTAATGTGAAACATTTAATGTGAAACTTCGTGTTTATATTCTGGGTTCATCTGCTTGCCTGTACAAAATATACATCATCAATAAGGTGTTTACTGAATTTCGCATTTTAATATCTGCGTTTTACTACTTTACTACTAAAAATAACTGGCGGTCAGTGGAACAAAGCTTCATTTTGCCCGCCAGGGTGCGACGTCACGTGAAAACTATCAATAGAGTTACAATACATACAGTATGCAAAATTAACGGAATTATGTAGTGTATAATCTCTTTACTCTTTACTCATCTTTCAGATTTTTTTCTAGTTTAGGGCACTACTTGTACTCAGAATATGACAACATCACAGAGTTGCTTAAGAACGGTTGCATAATTGTCTGCGGCTACTTAGCAAAGCAAAATGGTTTTAAATCAATGAGTTTAAAGGTCAGTCAAATTCTAGCAAAGCTATTGATTAATCGAGAAGAGAAATAAATAAATAAATAAATAAATATTGTTTATTCACTATGAAATATATAGTTCCCCATCAAAGATATAAAGTATCTTACTAATTGTGAAAGGCAACTAGCTATACATGCACAATATTCAATAATGCACAATATTCAGTGAACTCCACCCTCAAAGGTGAAGTTACCAAATCCATGACGTGATCAAATACACTGAAATCATACATGATTATCACCAGGCCCACTCAGAATCTGCACACCCAGAATACCTCTGAAAACCACAGAACTGGAATGCATGTTATTCACATAGTGTCTCACCTGCAAACCTTGCGAATTTGTTGAATAAATATTTTGTCTTGATTATGCGTTCAATTACCAATAAATGTGCTAGCCTACCAGTTCCATTTAACATATTTTAAGATTCTTCAGATTTTCACTCAAAATCATCACAGAGCATAAAAACTCAAAACAGTTATGATCTAGACACAATTGTCGTTTTAAATCTGTGTCACGCATTAAAATTATTACTATTAAAATGAAAACATTAAAACCACCGGCAAACTGATTGTCTGCGCACGTGACTGCTGATTTGTCAGGCGATGGCGCTAAAGAAGCGCGCTGCTTCTCCTCTGACGTAATTGTTTCAGAAGTTCTGCTTTATTCATCTGTTCTGCAAAGAGTTAATTTAGCTAATATTCTAGTTGCAGTGGGTCTAATATTTGTTGCAGTCCATCGGCTTGTTATTAAAATCAGTTGAAATCAGTGTCCTTGAGAAACAAATTACAGGTAGGCTACGTTATTTACCATCTTTAGAATAAATTACTGCCTTCACTTGTAGAATTCCATTATTTGTTTCCTCAGCCACTGTCTTTTTTTTTCAGCGCATATCTTTTGCGTCAAGAACATGTCTGCTGGAAACATGATGAAAACAGAGGTGTCAGTCGCTGCTACTTTCATCGGCGGTTTACTGAGCAGCAGCGACTCTCTCACTGGAGATCAGCTGCAGATCTTCACTCACACACTCACTAATGCTCTACTAGGTGAGATAAGATGATAGCCTGGGCTGACCTACTCTTCTTTACTAACTGAGTAGCTATGTCTCATAAAATGACACCCAATGTTTTGATTCGTTTGAATTTATTATTTTCTCCCTGAAAAGCTGACATCATCTTTATTATTATTATTGTATATTTTATATATATTTATATTTTTTAGCATGCTTTAAAATTTAGTAGGCTTTACATTTTTTAGTATGCTTTAAAATTTAGTATGCAAGCTATTGTATGCATTTTTAAATTTTTTTTTATTTTTTTTTTACCTCAGAGCACTATCAGCACCACTGGTTTCCTCAAGCTCCCTGCAGAGGCTCTGGCTACAGATGTTTATGGATCAACTGTAAAATGGACCCGCATAAAGGAAAAGCAGCCTCTGCTGTTGGATTTACACAAGAGCAGCTTTTCTCATCACTTCCAGCAGAGCTGACACTGTGGGTGGACCCTTACGAGGTGTCCTATCGAATCGGTGAGGATGGATCCATTTGTGTTCTCTACAAGTCCTCACCACTACGGCCTAAAAGTGCCACCTCAGCAGATACATCAGCCCACAGGAAGGAGAAACTAAAAACCAGACGATCGAACCGATCAAGAAGGTTCAACGTAATGGAAGGGTCTCTGTTATGAGAGATTTTGAAACCCTTACTTGGTGTAAATTTTGCAGTTGTTTAAAACATTAAAGAAGAAACTGAAAGATAAATTTTGCATCTTACATACATCCAAGGTGAAGAGTAATAATTGGCAAGATTTTCATAATAATATCTAATATTTCATAGGAATATTGAAATATAATTTCTTTCCCTATTCACTTGTTGTGTCTCCCAAAATGCATAATAAACATGCTTTATCACCTGGTGTCCTCTACAGTGGACATGTATGAAATCGATGTCCAGAAAGTCATATTTTGAATTGAAGCCCCAAAACATTTTCCTGAGATGTTGATTTATGACAGTTTAAAAATTAGTAAGATTTAAATGATAATTACAAAATATTATCATATTTCCATAAGAGTGTTCAATTTGGTCACTAAACTAATGTCAGCCATTTTTAAAGACCAAGGAGAGGGAGTGGTCATGGTGAAACGTCCAAACATTTGGTATCTCTGAAAAGCCCTGAATGTGCTCCTTACAGGACATCTAGACTATAACTGTGACATGTAGGGTCTCAGAGAAATTCACTAAAATATAATGTCCACTACAGAGGTCAAAAGTCTGTACCTGGGTCCCAGGAGGTTAAAATGAAAACTGCTAATATATAATTCAAGATATTAATAGTGTATTAATAATACTAAAACACTGGTGCATAATGACAATCAGATGATTAGCAAATTATACAGTATGCAATATAATGTGGTGGTTTTGTTGCTATTTAGTGTCTTAGGAGCAAAGAATACTTAATAAAAAAAAGGCCTGTTTTCCAGGTATCTTCATTGTCGGACTCTGTCTGTTGTTACTCAACTAATATATTCTGCCTGAAACAAGCCACTCATTGACTCTCACATCTGTTGAGTTATTCACACTCTCTCCATTATGCATCAGTTTGTAGAGCTGCAGGCAAACCATGCAGAATAATATCCGGACTTTGCCACAAAGATGCTTTGCCTACAATAATAATTTTGCCCATCTTTTTCTTTATCTGCATGTTACAATGTCTAGTCCGTCTATGCCCTTTCTTTCTCTTTTCTTTGACTTTAATCCTTCATCCCATCAGGTTAAGTAATGGCACCCAGAGGGAGGTCGAGGAAGTGCCTTTTAAAAGTCTTGGCATGCATTTATTTGAACACCTGGTTAATTCTGTTTATCAAATGCCTCAGATAAAATAAGATGTAATAATGAGTAGTACTCTAACGCTGCTCAAAATCTTGCAGATCTCTGTTAAGCCATCAGATCTTTAGCGCTTCTTAGAAGCAATAATAGGTGAAGTTACAGCATGTCAGCTGAATTATGTTTGAAATGTATTTCACAGCACTTTCTCACAAATTTCCGGTGAACAGATGATATTATTTCTTTTGCCCAAATCAGAAAATTTTACTTTGGTTTAATCAAAAATAGGGGGACAGAGGTTTTTCTCCCTCTTCTCTCAATCCATCCCCTGATACCTCCCAAACAAACCCAGCTGCATTTCTAACAATAAAGCTTTTGAACATCACATAGAGATGGATGAAACACATAGAGTTGGAGTTTGCAAGTTCACCATATTCAAACATGCAGTCCAAGATTCCTGAACTAATAATAATTTCCTTTTGAATTCCATCCTTTATTTCCATGGCCAGCACTGTTCATTCTCCCCTTTCCCTCTGTTTTTCCGAATCACAGTGTTCCCTGAAACTGTCTCATTAAATCACAAAAGGAAGGAACACACATCTTATTGTAAGATTATGCTTATTCACAAGAAGATGGCAAAATATATCGATTTAAAAAAAATATATTTATCCACTTTACATAATTAAGCACAATTTCAAAACATGCATATGCACAAAACACAAGCATAAAGTGGATCACAGCAGTTTATTTTGGTGGGAATAGAGGTGAGTGATCTGTTAAATAACCTCAAGACAGCACAGAGTGGGTTAAGGCCCGTTTCATGAATTGTTTTTTAATGGTTCACAGGCAGCCACTGCAGAGAAACTCTTTAAAGGTCTCATTTTACTCTGAGGCTGTGACACACTACGTCGCTCCTCTCTCTTCTTCACACACCACAACAACCTCGTTTCTCCTCACGAGATGATGGACCTGAGGATTTTACTCTTTTTCGTGACCGTGCCGTGGATATTTTGTGAACCGGCAAGAACCAGTAAAGTGGTGCCTAAACACAAAGGGATATTGAAAATAGTAGAGGATGAAGAATTAATCTCAGAGAGTAGAATTGTCATGGAAGCCAAGAAACCAAAGGTATGGCAATTTAATGCTGATAATGCTAATTTGCATACATTTTTGTATTAAAATAGGATTTTGCTTAGCATGTTAATGTTTTTGATGGCTAAAACGAATATATATATATATATATATTTGTATAATCAGAATGCCAGATATCATAAATCTGTTCCAAGAAAGGTATGCAATGGAAAACCTGTTAAATCCATAATGGGAGTATATGATATCCAATGGGAAACAGCACCATCGGCAAGTTATCTGGGAACTCATGAGCTCATCGAAAGGCAAAATATCATGTGAAACGGTTGAACTTGTTCGTTTTGAGAGAAAACAAAATACTAGTTTTCTTTTCATGTGCTTTACTAGAAAAAGGTCATTCTTAACACAGACTATGATAGTCCAGCTGATACAGATGATGAAAGTCCAGGAGCAGGCCATAAAGATGACAAGGGTAATTGTTTATTACTTCAGTTTTGCATTCATTTGATTAAAAATAATATTCAAGCCTATTTATTTCTACTTTTATTTTTCAGAACTTCCTACATGCCTGATGTGTGTGTGTCTAACTGGATCGGTGTACTGTGAGGAGGTTTCTCCTGATTTAAAGGGATAGTTCACCCAAAAATGAAGATTCTGTCATCTTTTACTCAACCTCATGTCATTCCGAACCCCTGTGACTTTCTTTCTTTGGACATTTGGATCCCATTGACCTTCACTGTACACTCTTAAAAATAAAGGTTCTTTACTGGCATCTATGATTCCACGAAGAATCTTTAACATCCATGGAATCTTTCCAATACACAAAAGGTTCTTGATATTGGAGCAATGTAAGAAAAAATGGTTCTTTTAAGAACTGTTTACTGAATGGTTCTTTGGGGAACCAAATGGTTCTTCTAAGGCATTGCTGCAAAAAACCCTTTTGGAACATTTATTTTTATGAGTGCATGGATTAAAAACACTGAGTCATTTTGTCTATGTTTCACAGAAGAAATAAAGTCGAACAGGTTTGGAACAACATGAGAGCGAGTAAATAATGACCGAAAGTTAATAAAAAACCTATTCAGTTGCAGCCCAGTGGGAATGTCCAAATCTGTAAATACATCCATATTGTGTTGTTTTAGAGCTACACTTAGAAGAATTGACCTGACTGGCAATCTGATCTCTGAAATAGAAGATGGAGCCTTTTCAAAACTCAACCAGCTTGAGGAACTAACACTAGCTGAGAACAAGCTGGTCAAACTGCCAACGCTGCCGGCTAAACTTGTGTCTCTCAATGTCAACCACAATGTCCTTAAAACAAAGGGAGTAAAAGCAAACATTTTTAAGGTAAAAATGAATAAAAGAATCTGAAATAATACATTGTTGTTACTCATGAGTGGCTTCTATTCTTTGCATTAGAAACTCACCAGGCTGGCATACCTGTACCTTGGAGACAATGGGCTGGAGGCCGTCCCGCCGCTGCCAGAAAGCCTGCGCGTGATTCATCTGCATGTATGGTCCTCACTATATTGTAATCTCAATATATTTATAGACTGTAGTATTTTAGTGTGTCCCTATATGTGTAAAATCCTTTAAAATCGTTTTCAGAACAACAACATAACATCACTGACAGATGACACGTTCTGCAAAGGAAATAACACTAACTACATCAGGTACAACATGCAGGAGGTTCGGCTCGATGGAAACCCAATAACGTTGGCCCAGCATCCCAACAGCTTCATCTGTCTGAGAGCTCTACCAATTGAACACTACAAGTGATCTGCTGAGAAGAAAATGTTCCTTAAGCCACCGGCCAACTGGCAACCACTGTTTGGATGTTGGACAGCACATTCACAAAGATTTAACAGCATAATAAATGGTTTTGGACTTTTGAGGGCATCAAGCATTTAGACATTAAGATGCATATACAGACAATAACTTTTTTACAATGTAATCATTTTGTTATATTTTGCTAATGGTTTTGCAACTAAAAATGGCAAAAAAGACTGCAGTAAATTCATGAGGCAGAACGTCTATAAACTTAAAATGGGAAAAAGATATTCAGTGCAACAGATATTCACTGTTATACTGACATCCAGTGCTGGTAAATAAATTCATTTTGACATATTTGCTGGACTTAATCTTCATAAACTCGTATATAAATGCACAAAGTAGCCTATGCATTACAACTGACCATCATTTTTTAATTATGGAAGCCTGTTTCCATTACAATTAGAAAAAAAGTGTATTGTTTAGAATCACAAAACAGAAAATTTTTATTGCAGAAATAACCATCTTTATCTTTTAGACAATACAACAATTGCCACTTTCCTTACAGAAACAAACATTAGCAGCCTTCTGCACCTCATTTGTCCTCATAATCACGCAGTCCATGTCACAGCTGCCCTACAGTTGATGTATAATAATATCCCCATTTCTGAATGATATCAAAAGTGTGTTAGTGTGCAAAAGTCTCAAGACGGTTTTGTTTTCAGTCTCTTTATCATGGTGATCGTTTATTTCCAGTGTTTTCTGATGATCTCATTTGGCTTCAGACTCTGTGAGCACAATCAAGCCCTCCTCAGTCTTGTGTTGGTATTCCCGCTCCGATTGTTTTCTTCTGTATACATCATCTGTGAAGCCAGAAAATAATGTAACCACGTGTCAATAACAATAACCAATACATAATTAAAATTTACTTCGGCCTACATAAATATATTCATGTATAATATATTCATCTTAACATAATCTAAGCATAATGTCAATTAAACACCCCTACGTAATTAAGATTAATGATACACATTATAAGTATTTTTGCTTTAAAGATTTAACGATTATTCACACTGGATGCGCACAAGCAGTACAACATCACAGCTCTGCGCAAAGAGGACGCAGAATGATGCACAGAAACGCTTCAAAGAGAGGGGCGTTGTATGTATAGTATACATAAGATTTGACTTAGCATACTTACAAAACGTTTCTTTTCCTATTCTCACGTTAATCATGATCCACTCCATGACGCCCCCGATACAGAAGAACAAGGGCAAAAATCTGTACGTCCCAAAACGTCTTTTTCCAGGTACAAGACTTAATATATATTTTAGGTTCTGACTTTTTCTAAACATCTTTTTCTTTCAAAACACAGTCAACGGCAAGACCCTTCCTAAAGCACAGCGCAATAATATGCACTTACGAAAACGAGTTTTAATCGCTAGAATACAACATCCGAGCAGCTGTCCTTCAACACTGGTCTTAGCGCATGTTACCGCTGCGCTTACAGAACAGGAAAATATGGCGGCGTAAACGTCATAGATAGCGTGTTCTAATAGGTCCGCTGGCAGGACTCTACCAAATCCCTGACATACAGGGACTACTCATCATTGCTATATGCTTATACAATACAAAACTTAAATAGAGGATAGTTCTCCTAAAAATGAAAATTCTGTCATCATTTACTCACCCTCAAATCCTCAAGCTGTTTCAAAGTTTCTTTCTTCTGTTAAACACAACATATTCTGAAGAATGTTGGTAACCAAACAGTTGACGGTAGCCACTGACTTCCATAGTATGAAAACAACACAGTGGAAATCAATGGCTGTTGGGTTACCAACTTTCTTTAAAATGTATTGTGTTGTTGTATTCAACAGAAGAAAGAAACTCAAACATTTTCGGAGCAACTTGATGGTGGCGGCATGATGTCAGAATTTCCATTTTTGAGTGAACTATGCCTTTAAGATTTAAAATATTTTACCTTCGAATTGGCTAATATAGTACAATAAAATAAGACAACTGGCTCCTATTGATGCTTTTTTTCTTTTTTAAATGAAACTGATGAACAAATCAGTGAAATTTATTTTGATTTACAGCATGTGGACATTTAATAGTTAAAGAATATGTTAGAAATACATGCACGCTAACATCTTGATGTTGCACATAGTGCACAATGTTTGACAGATTTCTGATCTGAAGGAATGAATGAATACCTGAAATAATTTCTGATGAATCTGGTTTTTTTTTTTTTTAAATGATTGTGGTCAAGGTGTTCACAGAATACTGAAAGATGCTAGAGTATTATCTGAATACATATTGCAAATGTGTTTGTATCATATATTATTTTAATGATTTTGCAAAATATTCTGCATTGCATGATGTGAATGTGATCCTTTAAATTTCATTCCCTTTTTCTTCTGCTTGGTCTCAACTGACAATGGAATTTCTACAGATTAAACCATCGAATTGGAAACCGCAGCAACCACATTTGGTAGCACATTCATAAATTGGTCAATCTTCTACTTTATATGCTAGCCGGCAGAAAGTCCAGTGATGCTCCACTGTGTTCTCGTTGGCACGCTCGCTCATGTGGTGCACCCGTGTGTTCCGGATCGTGAATCCCTGTTTGGTAATGTAGTCCATGAGGTGGACCCTTAGAGACACCTCTTGATGGTGGTCACATGGTCCAAAGGTGAAAGACACCTGACAGTCTCTGGTGTCCATCATGTGTTTGTTCCACTTAGTGAAGTTGTTGGATATTCCCTCCAGCAGCGAGTGGACCTTGGTGGTTATGGTTAGTTGCGTGATAATAACCGCTACTGGATTCGAGTACTTAGACAGCTTGCGGGTACTGGACAACTCCACCACCTGCTCAAAGGTGTCCAGCGGGTACAGAGGCTTTGGGTCACTGAGGCATTGTATTAAAGGCTCGATCTGATAGAAGTCAGCTTCTTTACGCAGAAGGTCCATCTCCATGAAGTCAACAGGAAGAGTGAGCTCGGATGTGCGCAGGAAGTTTAATATGTAGCGGAAAAGCGTCCCGTCCCGATCGATGAAGTAGTTTCCCTGAGCGTCCCGCGTGGTGGGGAAGTCGCCGCGGAACATGGCGCCCAGCATGGAGTCTGGGTAACGTTGAAGAGTGGAGATGGAGGTCGTGTAGAGGTGACCTCCAACATTTAAGGTGACTGGGTGAGTCAACTACAAGCGATGGACAAAAGCAGAGAATCAGTAATGCAGTTCATCACATATAATCAAACAATAGGTTCATTGGGAATTTTAATGAGGCTAATCTGTCAATCTGTCACCGGAGAAGCGCCGTCCAAAACATCACTGTTTTGGAGGGCTGAAACCATTAATTGAAACAATTTGGGAACAATGTATGTGTTGGAATCTAAATCAAATTGCTGACAACCTACAGGATGCTGAACTGGAATAGAAAAGGAAGGATTGTTAAGCATGTCGGCTTGACATTTTGCTTTAAAGTTTAAAATACTCTTTAAAGCTTATAATTTGAAGGTTACACAGACCTTACGGTCAGACAAAACGACAGACAGACAAATAGCCCATCTACCTATGAAAATGTTAACCCATTTGAATGTCAGTTATGGGAAAACCTTTAATCTGATCAGTTAGAAAATATAACAAGCCAGGTCAGAACAGGCTAAAGGTCTGTGCCGATGATGGTGGGTGTAGTTTGAAAGAATTACAACTAGAAGTTTTAACTGGAAATCTACTTTTGGGATTTTTCATCATCTAGCAAAAGAAAACTGTAAAGGCCTGTTCACACCAAGAATAGCTATATATGAAGTTTTAATAATGGTTCTTATTGTATGAGAATAGGAAAATCCACACCACATCTATAATGTTAACAACACAGAGGAACAATATCATTGGAATCACTTTCATAACTTTTTTTTCTAGCTGATCAACAATAAAATAATTGACAGTGAGAATCCAGATAAGAATCCACCAACATTAAAGAACTGGAGCATTTAAAGTGGCAGACAACATAATCTGTATAGTTATCGTTCTTGGTGTAAATGGGCTTTAATAAAGTGATCAGTTAAGAAAAACAGCAACCCATTTTTATTGCAATTCATAAAATTCAAGATAGTTAATGGTATTCTGGGATATTAAGCGTTCTTCAACCTTGGTCCATAAAATTTAAATTCATTAATTATATATATAATGAATTATATAAATACTTTTACATGTTTTTATAGGTGCCATTTGAAACATACTTAATTTTATGTTCCGACAAGGTTTTATCAAGCCAACATTTCTTAATTATCTTGTTCAAGTTAAAACACATATTACAGTTATACAAATATCTGAATTTCAATTACTTTTAATTATACTCCAATAGCAGTTCTGCATAGTACACAACTGTGGCTAATAAACACTTTGTAACAATAACTTGTGTTAAATATTTCTGCGCATACATACCCTGCTATTCCCCCAGTCCCCATTATCCATTTGATAAGGATAGGTAGACCGATCTGACCCACAGAAGAAGCTCGGATATTATAGTTGGGTAACGTTAGACCTGCAAAAAAAGACACTTATTAGCCCTACATTTAAGGCACATAAATATATACAGACCTCACTTGAGAATCTGAATATTTTAACACATCTGAGACGATAATGAAGAACACAATGAGATAAACACAGGATGCATTACTGTGTGAGGAAGCTCAATGAATTGATGTCAAAAATAAGAAGGAAAAAAAAGAAAAAAGAATTGGATGCCCAATAGCACGCTAGCTGTTTTGGTAAGGCATGTAACGTTATTAATCAGGTTTTCTGAAACGTAATTATTTACCGTTTCCCTCGAAATAAGTTAAAAACGTCCAGCGACTGTGCCTGATGACATCTAACATTAAAAACACGAACATGCTTTAATAAAATGAAGCGTTTTTTAGTAACCTTTACTAACCAGCTATCATAATATACCGCTAGCTCCCTGCTAACTACTAACGTAAGAGTGACAAACTGGATGCCCAATAGCACGCTAGCTGTTTTGGTAAGGCATGTAACGTTAACGTTATTAATCAGGTTTTCTGAAACGTAATTATTTACCGTTTCCCTCAAAATAAGTTAAAAACGTCCAGCGACTGTGCCTGATGACATCTAACATTAAAAACACGAACATGCTTTAATAAAATGAAGCGTTTTTTAGTAACCTTTACTAACCAGCTATCATAATATACCGCTAGCTCCCTGCTAACTACTAACGTAAGAGTGACAAATTAATAAAATAAACGTTTTTCCTGGCAGTCACACTATATGGGATAACCCCATCCTTACCTGTCTCCAGGCCTGAGGGGTTTAATCGTCGGTCTTGATTGCGGCTGTACAGGACTCTGTTAATGTTAGCTGCTCAAAGACGAGAACACAGCAGCCGCACCGCAGTCACGTGACCCACACTAGCGCACATTAATGGCAGTGACAGCTTTGTGTTGAAGCTTGTGTTAGACTCTGTTAATGTTAGCTGCTCAAAGACGAGAACACAGCAGCCGCACCGCACAGTCACGTGACCCACACTAGCGCACATTAATGGCAGTGACAGCTTTGTGTTGAAGCTTGTGTTAAAGGGACTCAAAAGGCACTGCTAAATAAATATTGATCTAATGCAATGATTGACTGCTTTTAAAGTTGGGGATAAATGTTGCTTTACACAAATATTACATCACTACTAAAAAAAGTGACAATTATTGACAGAATTTCACCAACGAGAAAGAACCACAACTTTTTGAACATGGTAAATCATAGTTTATTGTACCATAGCTGTAGCTACTGACAGGCGGGAATGATGCTAGAAGAGCACAGCAATTCCAGCAGGATTAATGCAGGATTACTTTATAATTAATAATCGTTACATACAATGTAGCCTATGTTTCTTCTAATTAATCACAACTGTGCTTTGCATAGTTCAAGCAATATTAATGTTTTAATCATTATGTTAATATTTAAATCCATGATCACCCCCACCTGAAACAAACAAAATATTCAATTTTGTAATATTTTAATGGCAATAATATTTAAATGACATAAACTGGATTTAAACTTAAAGAGGTATGGTTCTCAGTGCTAAATAAAATGACAGGACTCCGAATTACTAAAACCCATTAAATTAAGTGCATTGTTATATAATAATCAGTACCATGGAATACATAATAGTATTACCATTTGATGCCATAACTCTACCATCAATATACTTGGTAACACTTTACAACAAGATCTCATTGGTAAATATTAGTTAATCCATTAATTTGAACTAACAATGTGCATTATCTTTTAATAGATAATAAAAATAGTTAATAAAAATACAATTGTTCAGGTTAGCTCACACAGTGCATTAACTCATGTCAACAGATACAACTTTTGATTTTAAAAATGTATTGTTGAAATGAACATTACGATTATTAAATGCTGTAGAAGTATTGTTTATTGTTAGCTTAGGTTAACTAATGTTAACAAATTAAACCTAATTGTAAAGTGTTACCATATACTTTTTTTTTATAAGAATGATCTTTTCCTTTAATCGATCAAAAGGCTGTTTGCATTTGAACATACTGCAAAATGATTGGAGTGAAAATGATAAGTTTGTTATATACTTCAGGGTCAGTATTTAGTAATATGCGGCTGATATCCTGAACTGTCTCAGGATTTCTTCTTGGTGCTGGCACTCTCTGTGCTCTGCTGAGAGATGCTGAAATCTAAAATGAGTTTGGCTGTTTGTCGTGGTCTCTCCATCACAACAGAATGACCGCAGTTCTCCAGCAGATCAACACGACAGCCTGGAAGAGCCTCCGTGAGCACTGCTGCCCCAGACACATCCACCACCTGAAAATAAAGACTATATATCAGGGCTATTACAGTTAACTAAAACCACAAAATAAAATAAACGTTAACTGAAATAAAATAAAATATAAAATAATTTTGCTAGTTTAGCTATACTAAAACTAAACAATAAATAAATAAACAAAAATTAAATAGACGCTCTTTAAAAAAGTAAAAAATAATAGACACATTTAAAAAAAAAAACTAATTTAAAATATTAATGCTTTCTATTTATAACTATTGAATGCAGGCTTAGACCTACCTGGTCCTGTTTGCCCCAGATGACTTGTAAAGGGGTCGTTATTTGCTGTATGTGCTCATGCAAGGCATATTTTGAATTTTCACTCATAATTTCCACGAAAACTGGCAGTTTAGAGAGATGATACTTTAGGCAAAGAAATTATTAAAAACAAGACATTCTGTATCATACTGTAACATTAAATAGAAAATAACTGCAGTGGGTAAGCCTATTTTCGTACTGACCTTCATGATAAAAGTCATTGTGTGGTATCCGAACATCCACCAGGCCTTGAAGAATCTATAATGAAAGTTAGGTGTGTTTTGAATCTAGAGTAACTCTACATTACATTTGTGTGACTAACCTGTTGAGGCACTCTGAAGCGCACGTGAGAACAAAGCTTCAGCATCTCCTCCATCTCCTCCGGGATGGATGGAATAAGAGGAATATTCAGTGTGTACCGGCTGTGCTCCACTTCATGCATCTGACTGTCAAACTTGCTCTCGTTTTGGTTCCTCAGACCTTCAGTGAAAAATGTGACCATGCAGGAGTGATATTAAAAGAATAGTTCACCCCAAAATGAAAATGTGCTGAAAATGTGCTCACCTTCAGACCCATCCATTGGTGAGCAAGTGATGTAATGCTAAATTTCTCCAAATCTGTTCTGATGAAGAAACAAACTCATCTACATCTTGGATGGCTTGAGGGTGAGTCAATTTTAAGCAAATTTTCATTTTTGGATGAACTATTCCTTGAAGGAGTTCACACCAAGGACAGTGGTAATGATAAAGATCTAATATAATCTTAACAATAATGGATGCTAATATAATCTTAACAATCTACTTATCTTTATAGTTTTTATTCTTGGTGTGAACGGGCCTTAATAGTTCATTTTGGTTTGTATTTATGTTATGTATATGAATTTATCCATGCATTTGTGTCAAAGACTAAATACATCGACTAACCAGTTGGGCAGATGAGGGTCAAACTGCAGAGATCTGAGGGATGACAGGCTGCATGCACTCCTGCCACAGTCCCACCCATTGAAGTGCCCACCAGATGGAATGGCTTTCTGTTTAGCCGAATGGCCTCTACAAACTGAGAGGTGTAAAAGGAATATTCACAAATGCTGCCAATACAAACATTTAATATGCTGCCTTGTGATCATAAAAGGTTTTCATTATGATAAAATGTCATTCCAAGTCTAAGAAGTAGGTTCCATGAGAGCAATATTTGGCTGTTTCCAAGAACAGGACACAAAATAGGGCCTGAATCTCTTTTTCTTAAACAATTGGAAAGTGAAAAAAGGTGCTTAACCTTTTGGAAAAGTTGATTGTCAACCTCAGGAGGTTTTGTTAAGTTATATTTTAGGCTTTACAGAAATGCTATAAAGATTTTCTATTCATTTTACACTACTGTTTAGAAGTTAGGGTTGGTATGATTTTTTAAAACGTTCTTCTATGTCTCTTATGCTCACCAAGTCTCCATTTGATGAAATGCACAACAAAAACAGTAATACTGTGACATGTAATAGTGTCACATGATCCTTCAGAAATCACTCTAATATGCTGATTTGCTGCTCAATATTCACTTCTTTTTTTTTTTAAATAAATGATGAAAAACAGTTATATGTTAATAAGGTGTTAATATTTTTGTGGAATGTGGAATTTTATGATCAAAATAACAGCATTTATAGAAACCGTCTGGTGAATTATATGTTCTGTCACTTTTGATTAATTTAATGCATCCTTGTGGAGTAAAAAATATTAATTTCTTTCTTTCTTTAAAAAAAAACCAAAAAAACGTACTGACCCCAGACCTTTGAACGATAGTGTATATGAATATTTTAATTGCATCCCTGTTACCAAATTTTGGAACAGTTTAAAACCCTATATTATTGTCTAGCCATAAACATGAAATAACCATGAACACTAAACACACAAGATTTATAAAATAATAAACCAATTAAATAAAACTGCCAGATTGGTAACAGAGTAGGAAACTTATTTTAAATTAAGTTTAGTATATGGACTTGGTAATTTCATGGGGCACCTATTTGTACCCTATGCTCATCGAAAAACATAGCCATCCAGTCATTACCTGCCGTATTCTCTTGACCTGGCCCTGGATAGAATAGTCGTCTGTGTTGGTACGTGTTGTACCCTCATGCCCCGGCATGTCGACACACAGCAAGTGCAGATGTTTGGGAAGGTACTGTATAGGACACAATTTGCTTATCGCTGTTATAAGGACCAACATTTTAATTTTGTACCTCACAGCCAGGCCATGTAAACATAATATACCTTCACCATGGGGAGCCATGTGTCCTTGTGAGCAGAGAAGTCATGCAGCATGAGTACAGAGGGCCTGAGGCCTGGTTTCCCCCTGTATGAGTAACAGAAGCGATAACCCCCGCAGTCTGCATAACGTACCTGCAGACCCAGAGTTCTCCTCCAGTACCTCCACAAACAAATGACATAGGTAAAAAGGTATATAGACAAAAGAAACAAATGTATAACTACAAAAGATGCATGTAAATACATGCACACTCAAAAATATTTATGATTTACATATACGTTTTCCATCCATTTGGATTACACAATTCTAACATAAATTAATAAACTTAATGTGACGCATATTTGTCAGTCATACATAAATAACATTTCTGTAATGGTACTAATAAACTGAATGTGTTTTAATACACAATAACCGGGTTTATATATTTACCATCAACAAATCCAATTTATTTCAATTACATTTGAACTAATTGAACACTGCTAGCCATATTTTTAACCATTTACTTTGAATACATTTTCACAGATTCATGCTGATTCTTAGCAATTTGAATTTTGTCTTTGATCAAAAGATCCAAGATTGAATGAATTTTTAAATATAATCAAATAGATGCAAACAGTTAATAATAAGCTATGCCATGAAATCGTACCAGTATCATTTCTTTATGTCAGTTTTGTATGTCAGTATGACTGACAAATATGCATTACTTTAAGTTTATAGTTTGTTAAAACTGTATGATTCAAACGAATGCAAATTTTATACACAACCCAAATACATAAATCTTAAATGTAGCCCCAAGTATTTTTTGAGTGCAACTATAAAATATGTTCATATAAATAATACATTTAGAAATATTTACAGTCTGGTCCAAAAGACTGATACAGTGAAAATGTTTATGCATTTTTTCTCTCTAATTTATTTATATTAATATTATTATTGATACACAGTATTTAATATATACAATTTGAATAAAATGTCAGTCACAAATTTGGTAAAAATAAAATAAATAAATTGATTTGGTGACCTAAAAATTAAAATGGTAAATATTTCTTATTCATTTCACGTCATACATTTTTAATTCTTTAAATCCTAGAAAATTACTTTGTTTCTTTTCATGAAAAACAGGAGGTTGGGCTTCACTTCTAAAGAAGGATATTTATATATTATTATAAAGTAATATGCATGTATATATTATTTATAAGTGGTATTTACCAGTAATAGACTTCGATGAGTGATGATGGCCACAGCATAAAAGAGGCCATGAAAAGGAGGAGAGGAATAGCAAGAGTCCCTGCAGCAATGGCAAACATATTCACCATATCCTGATCCATAGCAACTCTGTTTTTATCTAGTAAACACCCTGCAGAATAACACAGCACACAATTACAAGCAGAAATGCTGAAATGACTGGCATATATTACACATGCTATCAGTAAAACTTCAAGATACCTTTGTTGTCCTGCTATAAGACTCCATATGTACAGGTCTGAGTGAAAGAGGGTGAGGGATGGGGGAGGGTCTGGCAGCATCTGTTTGTGGCTAATCAATACATGTAACCTAGATATCTCACCATGCGCTTAAAATATTTACATGACCATCATTTTATCTCTTAATTTCAGTGTCGCTGCCTAAAAAAAAGTCTAATTGTTCCTTAATGTCTATACATTCACAGACATATTTTACAAATCTGAACATATATCTGCAAATACAATATCTCACTCTTATTAATAAGACAACTAAACCTTTGATTGAGGTTAAAAGTATAAATCATTAAAATAATAACAACTGACTCAACAAATAGATTTGGAACAATTTGAGAGCAATGAACTTACAGGTGCATCTCAATAAATTAGAATGTCGTGGAAAAGTTCATTTATTTCAGTAATTCAACTCAAATTGTGAAACTCGTGTATTAAATAAATTCAATGCACACAGACTGAAGTAGTTTAAGTCTTTGGTTCTTTTAATTGTGATGATTTTGGCTCACATTTAACAAAAACCCACCAACTCACTATCTCAACAAATTAGAATACTCCATAACAATTTGAGTTGAATTACTGAAATAAACTTTTCCACGACATTCTAATCTATTGAGATGCACCTGTTACTTCATGGTTAATCCTACATTGACGTGTGACAGTGAAGTCAGCTCTAATCAAGGAGTTTTAAATGACAGATCCAAAAGTCCCATTTAAACATCATACTTTAGCCGGTCAGTGTGCTGTCTGTCCTTATAACTTAATAAAAGTCCATGTCAGCTGTCTGCTTACCCCAATGAACACTGAGATGGCATCCAGAGAAAACTGTATGTGGTGATCTCGTGAGCTCAAGAAATCAATGAGTTCACATGGAAAATGCAATATTCCTCTTACTCCACAAAAATAAATAAAATAAAAAATAAAAATCTAATTAAATGAAGATACAGAGTCGTTTGTTTTAATAATGAACTGATAAGAATTTCATATTTCATATCACAAATACATTTTTTCCATATACATTCCTTTTGACATTAAGCCATTTAGTTGCATTTATGTTCCTAGCACAATTGTGTTGACATCTTTTAGAAATCTGTAAGCATTCACAAGATGAAACCCTCCAGATCTAAAGGCATCACTACATTTTGACCATTGTGAGCAAAGTTATGGAAGCACATTTTACATTTGTTCGGAATTGAAATTAAAACGTGTGATTTCAACCAGCCGTTCAATTTAGTTTTGCATTAAATATAGTGAAAGGTAAATCTATTTGGAGAGAATGAGAATATATTTTAAAATTATAACATTCAAAAAAAAAAAAAAATCATATTGAGTGTACACTACTGTTCTGACTTGTTTTTTTTTTTTTTAAAGAAATTAATACTACATCGAGCAGGGATGCATTACATTGACTTTTACACTGTTAAAAAATGTAAACTAAATAAATGCAAATAAATGCTTTTCTTTTGGACTTTCTATTTATCAAAGAATCCTGAAAAATGCACAAAAACATGAAGCAGCACAACTGTTTTTAATATCGATGATAATAAAAAATGTCTCTTCAGCACCAAATCGGTATTGGGATTACCTTCCCCCAGGCAATCTACCTCATGAACAGTTACATTTTCCCCACATTATGCAATAAAAATGTGCAATAACCTTATATTTATTTGTTACCACCTCCATCCTAGTACATCCCTGCATCTCATTCTATTCCATTCTATCATCTATAGCACAACTGTACATATAATTGATTTATTTTTAGATTAATTTTTCAATATTTGTCTATTTATATTTACATGTGTATTTTTTTTTAAATTCTCATCTAATTTTAATTGTCTGTGTGTTGTTGTGTCTGTGTACTGGAAGCTTATGTCACTAAATCAAATTCCTTGTATGCGCAAGCATACTTGGCAATAAAGCTCTTTCTGATTCTGATTCATATTAGAATGATTTCTGAAGGATCATGTGACACTGAAGACTGAAGTAATTGCTGATGAAAATTCAGCTGTGCATCAAAGGAATAAAATACTTTTTAAAATATATGAAAATGGGGTCATTTTAATAAAGTCATTTTAAGTTGTAATAATTTTTCACAACATTGCTGTTTTTACTGTATTTTTGGTGAGCATAAGAGACTTCTTTCAAAAACACAAAACCCTACCAACCTTAAACCTTTGAACAGTAGTGTACACACACACACACACACACACACACACACACACACACATACATATATGATACTACATCGAGCAGGGATGCATTACATTGACTTTTACACTGTTAAAAAATGTAAACTAAATAAATGCAAATAAATGCTTTTCTTTTGGACTTTCTATTTATCAAAGAATCCTGAAAAATGCACAAAAACATGAAGCAGCACAACTGTTTTTAATATCGATGATAATAAAAAATGTCTCTTCAGCACCAAATCGGTATTGGGATTACCTTCCCCCAGGCAATCTACCTCATGAACAGTTACATTTTCCCCACATTATGCAATAAAAATGTGCAATAACCTTATATTTATTTGTTACCACCTCCATCCTAGTACATCCCTGCATCTCATTCTATTCCATTCTATCATCTATAGGACAACTGTACATATAATTGATTTATTTTTAGATTAATTTTTCAATATTTGTCTATTTATATTTACATGTGTATTTTTTTTAAAATTCTCATCTTATTTTTTATTGTCTGTGTGTTGTTGTGTCTGTGTACTGGAAGCTTATGTCACTAAATCAAATTCCTTGTATGCGCAAGCATACTTGGCAATAAAGCTCTTTCTGATTCTGATTCATATTAGAATGATTTCTGAAGGATCATGTGACACTGAAGACTGAAGTAATTGCTGATGAAAATTCAGCTGTGCATCAAAGGAATAAAATACTTTTTAAAATATATGAAAATGGGGTCATTTTAATAAAGTCATTTTAAGTTGTAATAATTTTTCACAACATTGCTGTTTTTACTGTATTTTTGGTGAGCATAAGAGACTTCTTTCAAAAACACAAAACCCTACCAACCTTAAACCTTTGAACAGTAGTGTACACACACACACACACACACACACACACACACACACACACATATATGAAGGTATTTCACAGAACAGTAATATGGAATGGAGATCATGGAATGTATTCATCTCCCCACTTCACTGCTTATATGTATTTTCCTCGTTCTTTGACAGCATAGTTGATCCTGTACTGATGTCCGCCCATATGAATGATTGACACCCGCTCGCAGGGGACGGTGGGGCCATGCATGCCGACAAAGAGAAGGTTTCGTCCTACAACACAAATGCAGCTACACTGAGTTCTGAGAGAGACATTTCTCTGGAGACATCACTTAGTGAAATGAGTTACTTAACATTCTCACTAATGTCAAGCTGCACTCACCAGCTTTACTACTTGAAAGCCCTTACTCAGGCCTGGGCCATGGCAGATGACTTTACTAGCATTAGACAGGAAAACTGGCTCAGCACTGCTGTCAGATGTTGTGTTTATCTCCATGTCTGACAGAGAGGGTTCCTCATAACTGTTGCACATCTGATTATGATCTATGGGTGGAAAAGAACAAAGTACCATCAGGCCTTACAAACTCAAGTATCTTCCATGCAAAATGGAAATCGTCTCCAAAACATTGCTAATTCAAACCATAGTCATTTTGTCCTTGTGTGAGACTCTTATCTTTGGTGGCACTGACAGACACAGAGAAAGGGCTTTCAGAAACATGCTCCTCATCAAATATGACTGAAACCTCATAGTCACCTGCAGGAGAACAAATTCTATAAATATGCCCTTCTCTTCCTCAGAAAATCATCAATCAGTATGCTGATGTTGAATATATATTAATATATAACAATAACTATATTAGTGTAAAGCAGGATGGATTCTGATTGGCTGTCAATATTTTTATCATTCATCAGCTGAAAAAAATCATTCTGAAGCCAATTTTAACAATATATTTCTTCTGTGTTGTAATGGTTATAGTTGTGATGTGGACGTGTCTATAGTTATTGTCTTTGCTTTGAATGGGTCTTAAGTCTTAATATAGTGAATAAAATACTAAATTCACTTAAACTCACTAAACATCATTAAACTGAAAAAAAAAAATGATGTAGAAACAATTTTCACTCAGAAATTGCAAGTAAATTTCACAATAAATTACAAAAAATACCAAGTAACATTGAATTAAGTGTGAAATTTTCAAGTAGAAAAGCTGAAGCCTAGTATTTTCTTTGAAAATGTACTCCAATAATCTTTTTATTTACAATTTTTTTTAATTGTAGATATGTTTTTATCATAGTATCGCAAATTTATTTTAAATGATTCTAAATGATTCTAGATCTCTAATGACATGATTGCCCACATTCACATCATTTTTGGTGGGAAAACAATAGCACAGCAATGGATTTGATGAATTCTGTTATGTTTTGTGGTATTAGCTGGTTCGTCTTACTTTGAAATCATCCTGTTCAATACAATTACCGATATCAAAACTTCAAATATAGTCAAACAATGATCACAGTTAACAAGTTGACATCATCATATAAGTTATCTTATATGACTTCCCCCATATAAGGGGAAGTCGTGGCCTAATGGTTAGAGAGTTCGAGTGGCCAAAGGTTGTGGGTTCGAGTCTCGTACCGGCAGGGATTGTAGGTGGGGGGAGTGAATGTACAGCGCTCTCTCCCACCTTCAATACCACGACTGAGGTGCCCTTGAGCAAGGCACCGAACCCCCAACTGCTCCCCGGCCGCCGCAGCATAAATGGCTGCCCACTGCTCCGGGTGTGTGTTCACGGTGTGTGTGTGTGTTCACTGCTGTGTGTGTGCACTTTGGATGGGATAAATGCAGAGCACTAATTCAGAGTATGGGTCACCATACTTGGCCACATGTCACGTCACATGTCACGTCACTTTATCTTTAGTCATTCTACTAAAGCCGTACATAATTAAAGTTGAAGTATCTGATCTTGATTGGATATTTCTGAAAGTCTTGTGCACTGTTTTAGTGAACATGTCCAGACAATGTACATAAAACGCAAGCATTACATATACTGCATTACAGGAATTACCCACCAGGCTCTTGAACGGTGTAGGACACAATGCAAGAACCATCCAGCTGATCGTCCAAGTGGAGCTCAATCTTTCCAGGACCCTCTACTGAGACAGACAGAGTTCCTGCTCCGGCCTCACGGGACCAAATATTAAAGTCAGCTGCAAAATGAAATCAATGCATACTTTTGAAATGACTCACATTTGACTTAGCCAGCTGTCACAGTACATAACAAAACACCTCGGACTAACAAATAACAGAAAGAGAGAAATATTAGTGGGATACCTGGAACACTTGCTAGAGCTTTTTGAAGGCCTTGCCCCCACACCTGGACCTTTTCACATCCTCCCTGTCCAAGTGGGCCGACGGTGTACTGGAGTGGCCTACCAGGGATTGTCTGACCTTGGCACATTATAAACTCCCATCTCTTTAGCTAGAAAGCTCACTGCATAGGTGTCACTGCCTGTAGCAACAATAACAGCCTCTCCTGGACTTCCTGATGGCTCATGCACATAAGCAGACAGAGTCTCAGCATCAGAACCTATAGTGAAAGGGAATGTATTTTTGTTAGCGGCATTGCAAAGTCCTCGAGAAGTCAGATATAGTGCCTGGATTAGTGTGATGGGCTATTCATCTAACCTGGGATTTTGAAGGCTAAGCTGCATTCACTCCCAATGCGGGCAACAGGAGCTGCTTTCTGGTTGTACGTGATGTTCTCTCTCATAAACCCACGGTCTG